TTTTTTAGAGGGGGTAGGGAGTGCCGAGAATTGAACCCAGGGACCCTTAACCCCTGAGCCACATCCCCAGGACTTTTCATTTTTTAATTTTCAGACAGGGTCTCACTAGGTTTCTTAGGGCCTTATCAAGTGTGGAGGCTGGGCTCAAACTTGTGATCCTCCTGCCTCAGCCTCCCAAGTCACTGGGATGAGAGGTGTGCACCACCACCTTCATCTCTTTTAATTTTATTTAGAGCATTGTAGGTATAGGTAGGAGTCGGGCTCAACCCAACAAAATCATATATGCATGGGTTTTGATTTGAGCCCCCATTTCGGTGGCCGTTTTTACACATTCTGGTTGAATTTCCTATAGGCAGCTTGCAGAGAGCCAAGAACTCGTTGCTGCTTAAAGAACTGGAAAAGAATGAGTCAAAAAGTGTACTGACGCTCTTCATGGTCTGAAGACAAGCTTTCGATTCATCCTTTTTTAAAAAAAAAATTTTATTTAGTTGTAGATGGACACATGCCTTTATTTCTACGTGGTGCTGAGAATCAAACCCTTGATTTTAATCCGCTCGGATTTTTCTAACAGTTACCCAGAATTCTGATTAGATCTTGTCGGGGACACTGTCTAGAGTTTTTATGGTGGTTTTATTGAGATATGATTCACATGTCAGACAATTTACCAAAAGTGCAGAACTCGGTGGTTTTACGGTGTCTGCAGAGATGGCAATGTCACCACAATCAATATAGAATGTTTTCATCACCCCCAAAGAAGTCTGGTTTCCCAGGTTCTACCAGCCACCACACTTCCCCCTCCAACCATAGAAATTATTTTTTTTGACTTACGTTTTCAATTCTCTCGGATGGGTCTTTGCCTAGAAATGCAATTGCGGATCGGAGGCAGACACTATCCTTTTGGAGAAATGCCTGTTAATTTTCCAAAGTGGTTGTACCATTTTACAAGCCCCACCCACAGCGGCGGGGCGGGGGGGGTTGTAAAAGGGGGGGGGGTGCCACTTGCTAACTTTTCATCTCAATTGCTCTTCTCCCCATATTCAATGCTGTACTTTAGAAAACTGTGGGGGAACTCGGGCCTTGTGGTTTCTCAGAGGAGGCAAAGAAGGCTTTGAGGCCAGAAAGGGCCTCCCCAAAGCGAGAGCCTCAAAAAAATGGAGGGGGTCTTTGCAGCCGAGTTAAAGTCGACTGTAGATTATTTTTATCACTGTCAACCAGTGTCTTTGAAGACACAGAGGGAGAGGGTGACGCGGGGGAGCCCCGTGTTATCTGTGCACCAAGTTAAAGACAGGAGGCTGACCAAAGTCATTTCCACATGTATCTTGTGGGACTGGGGATGTGGTTCAGTGACTGAGGGTTTGCCTGGCAGGCAGAGGCCCTGGGATCAATACTCAGCACTGAAAAAAAGGTATAATGCAAGCCAGGCATGGAGGAGTACGTCTGTCATCCCAGCGGCTCAGGAGGCTGAGGCAGGAGGATCACAAGTTCAAAGCCAGCCTCAGCAAAAGCGAGGTGCTAAGCAACTCAGTGAGACCCTGTCTCTAAATAAAACACAAAATAGGGCTGGGGATGGGGCTCAGGGGTCAATAAAAAAAAATTTATCCCCACATTTATATGGACTAAAACATTTCTACATATAAAAGCACAAGAATAAAATAAAAGACACATTAATTCGGCCTCCATAGAGTGAAAGATTGGTCCCAATCCTTCACTCCCCTCTAGTAACTGTACAAACCCATACCCCTACCACTGGGCCTTACCATGTTGGGCAGAGTATGCTTTGGGCTTGGGCCAGCTGACTCTGAGTTTCACCCTGCCATTTGTTCAGGTTTTGGGGACGTCCTTGACCGTGATGTGACTCGATGTCTGCAATGTGCTCGGGCCGTGATTTTCCTCTTTGACAGTTTGGCTCTGGGTAGTTGCTGGTTCCAAATGATTGGCAGATGCTTGGAACAAACCTGAGCCCACTCTGTAATCTGGAGCCCAACCCAAGGTGAGCCAGACCCCAGTCGATCGAGAAACCAATACTTATTGACACTGAGGAGCTTGTGGTTATTTTTGTAGCAAAACCTGACTAATACACCCACCACGTAGAGATAATCTCTCCTATCAGTCTTAGCATCTAACCCAAACGGAGATTTTGAAAAAATAAAAAAAATAAAAAATTACGTGCCTATGTACTGCCTGTTGTTTTTATTGAATATATTTCTTTAATGCCAGAGTTCTCCATAACACCCCTTTTCATATCCACGTATTGCAACTTCATAAATTATGCGTCAGCCTGGCATGGTGGTGCACACCTGTCATCCCAGCGACTCAGGAGGCTGAGACAGGAGGATCATAATACGTTCAAGGCCAGCCTCAGCAACTTAGCAAGACCTCATCTCTAAATAAAAAAATAAAAAGAGCTGTGGGGGGCGGGTGTAGCTCTGAAATACAGAACGCCAGGGTTCAATCCCCAGTACCAAGAAAATAAACTCATCTCCTTCTCTTAATCGTTCTTAAATTACTTAAACTCTTACAAGGAAAGCTACAGTAAATTTCCCTCTCTTTTGTATAAATCTTGGTCTACCTTTCACATTATTCCACCGAGTGCATCTCCAGGAGTGGAGACCTTTAATAAGCTCCCTGAACCACACTTTGCAAAGAGCAAGAGTCACTGAATCTACAAGTTTTTTACTCTTGGGATTTTTTTTTTTTTTTTACCCGTGGGATTTGGGCTAAACCCACGCTGTTTTATTTCTTATGGAACTGAGGCAAAATTGATTTCATTTTTTTGAAAAAAAAAAAAAAAAAGAGTTTGGGGAATCCTTCTAGCACCTTCCATGACAATGTCTTTGGACATGTACTTTGTATCCTAAAGAATGAAAGTGACTTCCTACAACATAAACCGCCCACATTCCTTCTCCATTGCTGTTATGAAAACCGGGGTGGGGGACATAAGCACATGACTTTTTTTTTTATTATTATGGGCTTAGTTGGGACAGGATCATATGCCTGGGTGAGTGTCAGTGCGGGGAGCAGCCAGCTCTAATTTTCTGTAACTCTGAGAGCACCTGGCACGGTGCATAGCTGCATGCAGTAAATAGGTCTTGTGTGCAAGAGCTTCAAAAAATACAGGGAACAGTATAATGCAGGCTTTTGAGCCCAGAATTACTGCCCTTGCAGTAGTACTCATAAGTATTCTCAGCTTCTTTAGTGATGGCTGTGCTACAACTAAAGCCAGATGAGGAGGACTTCAAAGAGCTGCTCAGATGACTGATAGCCTATCTTAACTTCTCTAGGCACCTCTTGGCAAAGAGATGGATCTCTCTCTGTTCCTTCTTTTACTTCTCCTTTCCCCCCAAGGAAAGTCACATTTGGGGGGGGGTCATCTAACAATGAATGATCTGGTTTACTTTGGGGCAACTGTCCCAGTTAACAGTCTGGCACAGTAGGGGCCCTCAACCATGGAGCCACATCCCCAGCCTTATTTTTGTATTTTATTTAGATACAGGGCCTCACCGGTGCTGAGGCTGGCTTTGAACTTGTGATCCTCCTGCCTCAGCCTCCTGAGCTGCTGGGATTGCTGGCGTGCACCGCCACGCCCGGCCCTGCAGTAGGGATGCAGAGACGTGTGGAAGTTTCCATCAATGGGCTTCCTGTCCATCATATCAGAAATGGAAACGCTGATCTAACTCTGGCAACCCGTTCCCTGTGCGTCCGCTATCTGTCTGCTCCAGTGTCCCCAAACTGAGATTTGCTTCTCCTGGATTGAGGAATCGCAGCACCACATGCACCCCCAGGGCTAAAGCCCTCTCAAAGGCAACCAGCAACATCAACCACAGCACAGATAATGCATTCAACACCCTTCTTATCTGGTCAGTCCCACCCTAGGTCACATGTTTAAAAGAAGGCAGCTTTGCTCGCAGCTGACCTTGAAATTCCCTAGAAGCAAACAGAAGAAAAAATGTGGGGCTGGGTTTGTAGCTCAGGGGTCTAGCACTTACCTAGCACATAGGAGGCACTGGGTCTGAACCTCAGTGCCACATGTAAATAAATAAATAGAATAAAGGCATTGTGTCCACCTACAACTAAAAAATAAATAAATAAAGATGTGGGGCCGGGCTCGGTGGTGCACGCCTGTCATCCCAGCAGCTCAGGAGGCTGAGGCAGGAGGATCGCAGGTTCAATGTCAGCCTCAGCAACATGGAGGCCCTAAGCAACTTAGTGAGACCCTGTCTCTAAATAAAAAATAAAAAAGGGCTGTGGCTCAGTGGTGAGTGCCCCTGAGTTCAATCCTCAATATCATTAAAAAAGAAAAAGAAAGAAAGAAGAAAAGAAAAATAAATGTGGAAAGATAAAAATAAAGAGGCTGGGGATGTGGCTTGGTGGTTAAACGCTCCAGTTCCAAAATAAATGAATGAATAAATGAATAAATAATGTGTTTAAAAAGAAAGAAATGGAACAAAGGAAGGAAGAATAAGTAGCTTTGCTTACATGGAAACAGAGCTTGCTACCAAGACAGAGAAGGGCAAGGGGCATCACCCAGTGACCGAAAACTTGCTCCTCAGGCTCAGAACGAGGGGACTTTCCTATTCCTCAGGCTGAACTGCTTGTCAAATCATGTACCCGGTTTTGAACTGGAGACGAAGACACAATCACTACTCCAGAGGATGCAGCACATAAAAAAAAAATAATAATAATAATGCAAAGCTTTAGAGGGTCCAGAGAAGACTCCATTACCTGGTGGTCACCAACATAAGTTAATGTCAACTCCCAAAGACACCAAACTGTGTCCCAAAAGCAGGTCACGGTGCAGACAAGACGGTTATCAGATAGTGGCTAAACGACCCCGAGAGATGCTTTTGATTGACAGCGGGGTGGTCATCGGGAGTGCCAAGCTCATCACCCTGGCCCTCTTACCCACTCCTTCCTCCTCGGTGTTGGCTTAGAGAAGGTGCATTGCTCTCCCATCGCGGAGGAACTGCCTGTGAGTTTCTCACCAGTGCAGCTGTGATGATGACACACTCAAGAACTGTCTCCGAGTCAAGCAGTGCACCCCGAGATAAGGCTCCATCTCCATGCCCGGCTGCCGGCCTCTGAGTGCACGGCCTCTGCACTTCTCAGGAAGCCGGCCGCAGACGCCTGACTCATCTCAGGTGAGCAGAGGGACACCTTGTCCTAGGACACAGGCTCCGGAGGTACCCCGTGCACCCCCTGCTAATAATTGCATGGTGGGGAGGGAGGTTACCAAAAAGGTGAAAAGTTGCAATTTGTAAAGGCAGGGAGATCTTTTCAAAAAACTTTTGTCAGTAAAGACAGAATTAATGATGAGGCTTCAAACTTGCATCAGGCAGGGGCTGGCCAGAGAAAGCACTTTTCTTTTTGACTTTATGAATGGATTAAGTAAGAAATGGGCTAATGCATGCCGGGCTGAGTCCTATTAAAATAACACTCATAGTTTTGCTAAAAATTTATATAAATATGACACATCTGTTTTCCACGGCTCCAGATCGATACTGGATGGGATGAAAACTAGCACACACATGCAGCTAAGATTTCTTAGAAAATATGTGAGTCTAGAAAATAGAGTGTCATAATGTATCTTGGTTGAGGAAGTTTCAGAGCTCATCTGAAAAGTTGCAAATTAAGAACCAATTGCAACAGGGGACTGGTGTTACCGTATGTAACCAAAGGCAGTTTGCATTTTTGTTTCTGCTGAAGGTTTTTTGGATTTCCAAGATAGTTTGTGTCTAAAGTGTTCAAAAAGTTGCTGAGATCTCTCTCTCTCTCTCTCTCTCTCTCTCTCTCTCTCTCTCTCTCTCTGCTTTATGTTCACTTAATTATTTACCCAAAGCAAAGAAAATATATTTCCATGCAGATTCAAGACACAAAAGAAGAAGGAGGGAGGAAAGGAAAATCAGACTCTTTGAATACTCCACGGATCTAAAATTCATTTAATGCATGAAAACTGACCGTGCTTCATACTTATCCTGCAGAATGCATTCGATACTCCATTTAAATGAAATATACTGAACATTTCATGACTGGGTATGATCTCTAGATTGCTACTCCATGTGATTACTTCCCCTTTCATTGTTATTGGGAAAAAAAATATCAATCTATGTAGCTGTTAAAGGTTTGCATTTCAAAATCAAGTCACCTGATTGGTTTACATCCTCACTTGAAAGCCTGCACGGGGGAATTTTTAGGCCAGGGACCCAGGGGACTGGGCTTGTTCCAGGCTCCCTGTTCTGCACCACCCCCTGACCTTGCTGGTCCCCCTGTTTGATTTCAGCACTTATGTCCTGCCTTGTCACGGCTGGGTATTGATTTGCCTCTGCTCTACCCACCTGGACATCTGCCCCACGCCTGGGTCGGCCACCATGAACATGACCAACGGGGTCCTTGGTTTCTGCTGTCGGTACTGGCTTTGAGGAGAGTGGCCGTGCACAGGTACGTTCAGGGATGTGGGATGATCACGTTTGATGGGAGCGAACATATTTAACTATCGGGGATATCTGCAGCAAATTGGCCAGACCCTCAGGGTGGCGGTACCATCTCCTTCTGGACAGAGGGTTTTGTGTGTGTGTGTGTCCACAGTTGGAACCCATGAGTGGTACTTTAGGACTATTTCAGAAAACCAATCAGAGGCTCATTAGGGGTGAAACAATACACAACCCCAAATTGGCTGAACAATCCTTGTTAGCCATCTATATTTTTAGGAAAGTGCTTTTGGTTTATTACATTCTCTCTTTTTCTCCTAAAAAAAAAAAAAAACACAAAAAAAAAACGTGTTTTATTTCTAACTGCACGGTACAGGATAAAAGAGGAAGTTAACTCTTTAAAGAGTCCAGCAGAGCACAGATCCTCTCCGTATCTTTTCAATTTCTGCTGTGAGGTGGAGCCTCGAATTTGATGTCACTGCAGCTAACTCAAAAAAAAAAAAAAAGGGTCTAAAAAATGGGCCTCAACCACCACTTTGGTTGTCAAATACATGCTCTGGGCAGAACATCAATAAATTATAAAAAGGGGGGAAAAAAGAGAGAGAGGGGAAAGATTTTTTGTGACCCTGAACTTCAGTAGAACTGGACGGATTTCTCAAGAATCCCGGGGAAGTCCACCCCCCCCCTTGGTTTACACTTGACTTAACTTTCTAGAAACATCTGTCCTGAAAGAGACTGTGCCCCTGTTTTCTTTCACCTTTCATGGCCCACCGGAAGCTCAATTCTCGGAGGGCACTCGAGGAATCCTAGGTTGACTCAACCCCACGACACAGGAACAAGTAGCTCCTGATCTGTCCTCGAGATCGAGTGCGTGTTCCCGAGTGACCTCGGGTGGGCAGCTGGGCCTCCTTCCTTCTGGTTAGCTTGAAGCCTATCATGCTGATGTCCTGGTTTTCTGTTGGACCTTAATGGGCCACCAGGAGAGGAAGGACGATTGTCATTTGGAGACGATAGATGGGCGCCTATAAATGCAGCTGGTGAATGGGCTCTATTCTTGCACCATGGAGAGGACAGGGTATTTTTGGATTCAAGAGAGATCTGAGCTTCTGTCCCCCCACCCCCAACCCAGCCACTGTCAGCAAGAATGACTGCTCTTCAGGGGACCAGAAGTTTTAAGGGGCCACCGCTGGGGGTGCTTCCATAGAACAGAGAATCAGCAAGACTCAAGAAAACGGGGTGTGTGGGGGGGTCCGATGGTGAATCTCCAGGAAAGCTGAGCCTGAAACCCATCTGTGTACCCCAAATCGCTCTTCTTGGTCACCTTTAGACTCGTACGTGAGTACATTGTGCAGCAAATGTGACAACTGATTTTTCTCTCCAGGTTACTATCTATTTAAAAAAAAAACATCCCAAAGAGATAAAAAAAAAAAAAAAAAAAAAATCTGTTTCTGTCCAAAAGTTGATCCTCAAAAAAATTTCTAATGATCAAATTTGGAAAAAAAAAACAACAAAAAAAAACCAGTTCTAATTTCTGCAGCTACGTACGACTATATGGCCCATTCTAAGGGAGAGTTCTTGCTTATGTAAAATATTCAATCATCTCCCCACTGAGAAATTCAACCGTTTTGTTATTGACTTCGACAATTTAATTTGCAAAAGATGAACAAATGTTTATTATTTTTAGAACGTCTGGTTCTAACATATCTCTTACTTGGTAACAGTCACTAGGTGGGGGTATGTATGTGTGTGTGTGTGTGTTAATTTTGCAATTTTTTTCCCCCTGATCTGAAATTCCTATTGATGAAATGAGTGCAGTTAGATGGTAGTTGATATCATATCAGGAAATGCTGACATCTTAAGACATCACTTACGCAGTCTCAAGAGGAAGCTCTCTTGGTTGTTGAGAAGGATATTTTATCTTTTCTGCTCAGGCTCAGAAGATTGCTAACACTTCCCTTTAACTCATTGAAAGTACTCACTGGTTGGAAATACGAAAGAAAAATGTGAAAATGTCTGGATTTTTGTTTCGTCATCGCTGTGGGTTCAAAACGTCTTTCGCTAGTTGGAATTGTCGGAGAAAAAGAAACAAGATGATTACTTCTATGGAAATGGGCATGGTTCCGATTAGCAATACTTAAGTTTATTTGAAAAAAAGGACTTTATGGTTTCGAGGCTGTTTCTTTCCTACCACGGTGACCTTTGCCTTTAGTAACTTCAGTAGCAATAACTTAAGCAGCCACTTACCTAAGGAAAAAAAAATGAGGAGTTTTGTGCTATTTGCTGAACTTACCTGTTTACTCAGGAACTCTCCTTTGGTTCCACTGGAATTATATTTGGAAAATATCAAGCTATTAAAATAAAACTGTAAACAGAAAACTATAAGTCATTCTAATTAGGACCCTAGAGTGGACACAGTGTAGGGTTTTTGTTTTGTTTTGTTTTTTTGCTCTTGGAAGATTCCAGATGGGGCCCAAGTTCTTTGCTGAGTGGTGGCTTGTTCTTTGGCAAATTTTCAGACTCATTTCCTTCGATGGTAGGAATGATATCTATGCACTGAATCACTGGGGACCGTGTGGCCGCAGGAAGGACGGCTCTGGGAGAAGTGTGGGTGGCTCGTACTTACGTGCAGCTCCCAGGAGAAATATCTGTGCAGGGAGAAGCTCGAGATTTATTTTCTTTAAATGTTTTTTAAAAAATTTTCTAATTAGTTATACATGACAGTAGAATGCACTTTGACACATTATACATAAGTGGAGTATAACCTCTCATTCTTCTGGGTGCCCGTGTATTAGAATCACACCAGTCGTATAGTCATATAGGCACAGAGAGAGATAATGTCTGATCCATTCTCTGTCCTTCCTACCTCTACGACCCCTCCCCTCCCTTCACTCCCCTCTGTCTAATCCAAAGTACCTCTATTCTTTCCTAGCCCCCACCCCTTTGTTGGGAATTAGCATCCGTGTATCATTTGGCCTTTCGTTTTTTGGTATTGGCCTTATTTCACTTAGCATGATATTCTCCAGGTCCATCCATTTACCATCAAATGCCATAATTTCATTCTTTAAGGCTGAGCAATATTCCATTACAGTATATACGTACCACATATTTTTTATCCATTCATCTGCTGGAGGGCACCCAGGTTGGTTCCACAGTTTACCTATTGTGAATTGTACTGCTATAAACATTGATGTGGCTGTGTCAGTATAGTATGCTGATTTTAGGTCCTTAGGGTATAGACTGAGGAGTGGGATAGCTGGGTCCAATGGTGGTTCCATTCCCAGTTTTCTAAGGAATCTCCATACTGCTTTCCAGAGTGGTTGCACCAATTTGCAGTCCCACCAGCAATGTATGAGTGTGCCTTTCCCCCACATCCTCACCAACATTTATGGTTGCTTGTATTCTTGAAGAGATTTCTAATGGAAAGTTCCTCAAGAGAGATGCTTCTCTCTGCTCTTTGCCGCGTGAAACAGGATGCTAAGTTTTTTTCCTGCTTTTTCACACTGAGCGATGGTGCCTTTTCCCACTGTGAGTTCACTCTCATCATCCACTTGTTTCAAGTAGGTAGAAATATTGCCAGAGGTGGAAGCCAGGGTCTGGTGCATGATAAACACCCACTCTACCACCCAGTCACAACCCCCAGCCTGCGGCTTATATTTAAATAGTTCTGGTAATGTTTTATGTCTGCTGTCGACCGTGCCTAACACATTTTTTTGTTGGGAGGCCTGGTCCCAACGTATAAGTCTAACATATTGTATTCCTAGTATGTAACAGATGGATGTCACAGCTGGGCATGGTGATGTGCCCCTGTAATCCCAGTGGCTCTGGAGGCTGAGGCAGGAGGATCACAAGTTCAAAGCCAGCCTCAGCAACTTAGCAAGGCCCTGAGCAACTCAGTGAGACCCTGTCTGTAAATAAATTATTTAAAAAGGCTGGGGATATTGCTCAGTGGTTAGGCACCCCTGGGTTCCATCCCTCGTACCATTAAATAAATAAAAGGATATATGTCACAAATGCTTGTTAAATGGCCAGATGCCCACATCTTACTTTAGAAAGGGGCTTTCTGTTTTTCTCAGAAATGCCAGCAAGATGATCTCAATTGTCTCCTTGCTCTCTGCAGGATGATCTCAATTGTCCCCTTCCTCTCTGCAGGATCTGATTGACCGTCATGGTCCCTGTACTCCTGATTCTTTGGGGAGCCACGGTGATACCACCCGCCGACTTACTTCCTGACCCAAAGCGTAAGGACCTTGGATTCAACGTAGTCCATCATAGAATGGGTAGCACGGTTTCCCCCTGAGCAAACCCACAGTTAGGACATTTTATATTTATCTTTAAATATAACCCTTAGCTAGCCGGGGTGGGTGCAGAGTGCTGGAAGTCTCTTGAGGACTATGGAAAATCCCCACACGTCAGTCAGGGAGCAAAAGAGGGCTCTGTAGCAGTATGAACAGTATTGGCCTAATTCTGGTTAAAGAAAAAAAAATTTAAAAAGTCGTATCAATGCATGCCCAGAAAAAAAAAATTATATAGTGACTACATCATGTTAATATCCTTCTTCATGGTAGGATAGCAGATTTTTAAAGAAATATTTTTTTAGTAGTAGATGGACACAATAACTTTATTTATTTATTTATGCAGTGCTGAGGATCGAACCCAGGGCCTCACACATGCTATGTCAATGCTCTACCTCTGAGCCACCACCCCAGCCCTTAATGTCATTCTTCATGGTAGAATTGTAGGATATTTTTTTCTTTTTCTTTCCTTTTTTTTTTATTGTTCATGTTTACAAAACTGATGAGCAGGTACTGATTTGATTTTGTAATTAAATAAACTTTTTTTTTTGAAAGCAAAGTCAAAGCGTGGTTCATGAAGCGGCTTAAAAAAAGCTGTTTTCTATAAACTTTGGACCGTGACTCATAATAGGAAATGAACGCATCACGAATCTTTATACATCATGAATCACACGTACACATACCTCAGTACCTTTATGTAATGGTAACAAGAGATTTACAAAGAAGCTCTTCTTCTTATCACGTGTGACGCACCCTGTTATTTTCTATTCTGGTATTTTTCGGTTCTGTGTTTCTTCCACATCATTGAAAACATGCTGGTCACCATCCAATAAATTGTGATTGTGGCCCATTAATAGATAATGGCCCTCAGTTTGAAAACTACGGTTACAATAAATGATGTTGAAAAATATTCATATTTCCATAAAAAAAAAAACCACATCCATGGTATAGATAGACACTCGGGAAAAGTAAAAAAAAAAAAATAAGATGATGAGTTGGAAACAGTTTTAAAGAAGCATCTTCTGAAATTATTCCGGTATTGAACATCTTCGCATCCATTAGCAAAATAGTACAGTAAAACATTTTTAAATACTTGAAAGTGCTGTTTGTGCACCACAAAACATCGTGTTGCTTTTTAATTTTTTCCACAGTGTCCCTTCTCCCGCCTGTGAATTTCACCATCAGAGTCACGGGTTTAGCTCAAGTCCTTTTAAGCTGGGAACCAAATCCTGACCAAGAGCCAAGGAACGCTCACCTGGAATACCACGTGCAGATCCACGCCCCACAAGACGATGACGTAAATATCCCTTCTAAGGGCAGCTGTTATTATGTAGAGTAAATGTTGTTTTGGCTGCACTTTTTCATCAAATGAAATTTTAAGTCGAAAAAAAAAAAATGACCAAAGGTAGAATGGAGTAGGTAAGGGTTTGATGCATTTTTTCTACCATGGCATAAAGAACAGAAGACAGTAAGTAGCCTTGCAAATGGGCAGAGAGCAAGGGGCAAAGTCAGAGAAATCGAGTTCAAAGCCCCCCTCATCTAGACCCTATTTGTTGTCACCTAGGACCCGTTAGGTGGCTCCCCGGAGCCTCAGGTTGACTTCTGTGAAACCACCTGCTACACCTGCTGTGTCCCAAAGTCCCAGGAAGGCAGGAACAGTGTGTTTTAACTATTTTGCAGCCAATATGGAATTCCAGAGAATTTCCTGTTACTTCTTCTGCAGGGCAGGGGGACACTAGAGATAGGAGTCAAAGGGAACTTCAACCTTAAGCTCCATTAAACCTTAACTGTGATGCTTTGTTTGCTTTTATGAGAGGAATATGTTCATGGGCCACCGAGCAATGATGTTATTAGAATGGATTTTTAAAAATCTTTTTCTAACAAGCCAGGCGCGGTGGTACACATCTGTCATTTCAGAGGCTCGGGAGGCTGAGGCAGGAGGATCGCGAGTTCACAGCCAGCCTCAGCAAAAGCGAGGCCCTAAGCAACTCAGCGAGACCCTGTCTCTAAATAAAATACAAAACAGGGCTGGGGATGGGGCTCAGGGGTTGAGTGCCCCTGAGTTCCATCCCTGGTACCCATCCACCCCAATTTTTTTTTTTCCCTAACAAAACTTTTTCAGTCTATTTTATCTATGCACCATTTGAAAAGTGGAAGAAGAGGCATCCGGGATAAGAAGTCGTTTTTTTTAAAGGCTACTTGTGGATTTTATTTGCAGTTTGAAACCGGGAGCACGGAGAGCACCTGCGTGGCCCCCCTCCACGAAGGCTTTTCGGCAAGCGTTCGAACCATCCTGCAGGAAGGGCACGCCCCCCTGGCCAGCAGCTGGGTCTCTGCAGAACTCCAAGCCCCACCAGGTAAGGGAAGCTCCTCAAAGTCCAGTGTCATTCCGAACTTTGCAAAACGGGGAAACAGAAAAACTAACAATGATTTGCTTTTCTGTAGTCAGTCACCAGTTCCTGGGAGGAGTCTTCCAAGGCATGCACACCCTAACGGGGGGCTGTGGTCACTTCTTATTGCCAATTCCACCTGTGCATAATATATAGTTGAAATAGGTATGCAGTACATCTTTTTTTGGGGGTACCGGGGATTGAACTCAGAGGCACTAGACCACTGAGCCCCATCCCCAGCCGTATTTTGCATTTTATTTAGAGACAGGGTCTCACTGAATTGCTTAGGGCCTCGCTTTTGCTGAGGCTGCCTTTGAACTCGCGATCCTCCTGCCTCAGCCTCCCGAGTTGCTGACATGACAGGTGTGCACCACAGCACCCAGGCATTAGGCCCCTGGGCTCTCTACCTCTAGTTTCGCTCCTCTAGGAAGTCAACTCTTTGCAAATACTAAGTTTCTATAAATAGGTGACAAGACACGTGCCATCGCTAAGGTTTCCAAAGAGGTACAAGATTCAAAAGCAACAGCAGCCACGTTGTTTTGTTCTATTTCTGACCACCCAGGGTCTCCCGGAACCTCAGTCTCGAATTTAACTTGTGCCACCAGCACGACGACGGCAGGTGGTGGCCACCTGAGGCCACACCGAGTTTCTCTCCACTGCACCTGGCTGTCGGGCGAGGAGGCCCCCCCAGACACGCAGTACTTCCTCTACTACAGGTGAGTCCCTATTTTTACCCATGCAAATGGGTCACCTCCTCTGGGCCTTTAGGAAACTCACGAGCGTTCCACTGTAGGTATGGCTCTTGGACCGAGGAGTGCCAGGAATACAGCAAAGACCCGACCGGCAGAAATACCGCCTGCTGGGTCCCAAGGTCGTTCATCAGCAGCAAGGGGCACGGCTGGCTGGCGGTCCACGTTAACGGCACCAGCAGGACAGCTGCCATCAGACCCTTTGATCAGCTGTTTGGGGTGCAAGCCATCGGTAAGACAGACTCCGCCCAGAGTGACCCACATCGCTGCATCGCAGGGTCTCAGCGCTGCACCGGGTGGGACGACGTTCGTGCTGCTGACGGGGGCAGGTGGCTCAGTGGGAGCACTGCTGCAGATTTGGGTTGCATGACTTTTGTGCTATGGGGACCGGCCCTGGATGTTGGAGGATGTCTGGCCACATCCCCAGACACTGCTCAGGAGATGCTGCCCATACCCCTGTTGGAGATGAGGATCAGGTCCTAGTTTTCGTGGTGTGGAAGATGAAACTCCCCCAAGCGTAGAAAGTGAGTTTTATTTAAGAAAGAGACAGGCACACTGAAGAGAAGGGACCCCAGAGCTGGGAGTCCAGGGAACTGGGCGTGTCTTGCTCTTTGACAGACCCCAGAACCCCCCACCGTCTCTGTGTCCTCCATGTAGGTGCCGAAGGACAGGCAGGGACGGGAGCACAGGAGGAGTCCTGAGCTATCCACTGAGCAGCAGTAGTGGGAGCCCAGAGTTTAGCCATTAGCAACCCATCATTGTCGTTCTTTTTAGAACCCGGAATTGAACCCAGGGGTGCTTAACCACTGAGCCACCTCCCCAGCCCTTTTTATTTTTTATTGTGAGACAGGGTCTTGCTAAGTGGCTTAGCACCTCACCAAGTTGCTGAGGCTGGCTTTGAACTCGAGATCCTCCTGCCTCAGCCTCCCCAGCTGCTGGGATGACAGGCGTGCACCACACTGCTCACTTTCTGGGTGTAGAAAAATGGCCCCCAATTATAGGAGGGATCTGTGCATATGTAGGTGACACTGGGAGATAACTTCAGCACAAGAGACTTTCACAGAACGTATCAGTTTGGGCATTCGGGAGACAGGTTGTGAGAAGAGAAGGTCCAGGGTTAGCGTTCTACTGTCGTGTCACTGGGAAAGGATGTATTTGGGGGAGAAGGATCCATGTTTTGGCTCCTTTCCAAAGAATGTCATTTTTTAGGCTTGATGGATGGTTCCTTCCCAGGGACTCTCCTGTCACTAGGAAAGGATGTATTGGGAAAGGATCTTTGGTATCCATGGGTCACCTTCTTCCTCCTTCCCTCTTCCCAGGCCACACTGTGTGGGGGCTGTCATTTCCACATCTTTCATTTAGAACAGAACCCGACATAAATGTTCCCTGAAGACACAGACTTGTTATTCACAGGGCAGGATTTGGCTTGTGAGACACCTGCCATCAAACCGGAGCCTAAATCCGGCCCCGGAATCCCAGCCTTTGCTATTCCCTTCAATGGTACATTTCCTGTGCACCCCCCCAAACGTCCCTTTTATGAAAATAGCCAATAAAAGATTCCGACAGAGACCTAAAAAGCAAATGATAATGGGAAAATGGTTCCGAGCTGGTGCAGGCGGCAGGAATTTATTTTATGACCAAGTCCTGGGATTGCTAAAAGAACGAAGCAGTTTCTTGGTTGAGAACGTTCTGCTTTAGGGAAGGGCTGACTTTGAAGCCATCGGATCCCATTCTGAGTGTGTCTCTATGATCTGTTCATTGCGAGATCTCAGTCCTAGGATCTAGGACAAGGACCCACACGAGGAATTACTTTCTTTCCAGGGACCTTACAATGGAGTCTTGCCCTGAGCCGGGGCAGGGGTGGGGGGAAGTCATCCATGTAATTCTTTTTTTTTTTTTTGGTACTGGGGACTGAACGGAGGTGCACTTGACCGCTGAGCCTCATCCCCAGCCCTATGTTGTATTTTATTTAGAGATGGTTCTTGCTGAGTTGCTTAGCGCCTCACTTTTGCTGAAGCTGCCTTTGAACTTGTGATCCTCCTGCCTCAGCCTCCCAAGCTGTTGGGATCACAGGCATCCGGCCACCCATGCAATTCTGTCAGCCTCAATCTCTACAGCTCACAAGAAGGGTCTCTTTTTCATGCCACTACAATACAGGAGTCCTAAGAAGTCACAAGCTTCCTGTGGCTTGAGATGAGCTGATTGACATCTAATGATAAACTAGGCACATTGGGGCACGCCTGTCATCCCAGTATCTGGGAGGCTGAGGCAGGAGGATCGCAAGTTCAAAGCCAGCCTCAGCAAAAGTGAGGTGCTCAGCAACTCAGTGAGACCCTGTCTCTAAATAAAATGCAAAATAGGGCTGGGGAGGTGGCTCAGGGGTCGAGTGCCCCTGAGTTCAGTCCCCACAAAAAAAGAAAGATCTACTGGTAAATCTTGAATGCCTGGAGAGGTGTGGGTGGATTGGAGTTAACTGGCCTTGATCACCAACTCAATGTCACTGACCTCTCCTTCTCTAACCAGCTCGAGCGAATCCGCCAGCCAATGTCACAGCCCAGATCCAGGGAACGCGTCTCTCCATCCGTTGGGACAAACCCATTTCCGCCTTTCCACAGCACTGCTTTGATTACGAAGTGAAGATACACAACACAAAGAAGAATTATTTGCAGGTAATTCCTCAGAGGGTCCCAAAAGTCCATGACAAATATTCATTTTATAAACATTGAACAATTTTTTTTTCTCCATTGGCTGCTCTGGTTATAGCTGGGTACGAACAAGGTCAACTACATCTGCCCAGGTGTTATGGAAATCAACCAAACCTTATAAGCCTTTTGTTCTGCTTAGGGATGAAAATAATCCCAGGGGTCAGATGAAACCTCGTGGGTACTGGTGGAGGGAAAATGTAAAATGTCGTGGCTCTGGTTGAAAGCAGAACCCTCAGTGTTCCAAGACCTATAGTCATGGTCTTGGCTGTGTTAGATCCCATCTCAGCCCAAAGCTACAGGCAACCCAGGTGCCATCGATGGATGACAACACACCCAAGATGTGGTGTGTACACACAGTGGAAGGTGTCACTCAGCCTGGGTTTATTTACTTTTTACTTTTTATTTTTTGGGGCACTGGGGATTGAACCCAGGGGCGCTTAACCACTGAGCCACATCCTAGCCCTTTTTAATATTTTATTTAGAGACAGAGTCTCACCGAGTTGCTTAGCATCTTGCTAAGTTGCTGAGGCTGGCCTTGAACTTGGGATCCTCCTGCCTCAGCCTCCTGAGCTGCTAAGATTACAGGTATCTGCTACCGCACCTGAGTTTTACTCAGCCTTTAAAGGGAAGGAAATTGAAATAGGCTTACACGTGGATGGACTGTCAGGACATGGTGCTCAGGGAATGAGCCACTATGAGAAAGACGGAGAGATGTGTGATTCTACTCACAGGAAGCATCCAGAGTGCTCAAGCTCTCTAAACAAACCGGTGCTATTGCTTGTGATTCAACCTGAGCTACATCCCAGCCCAGAGGGCCAGTTTTGCAAGATGAGAAGCACGGGAAGATGGACTGTATTTAAAACCGCTGATCTGTACACTTAAAAATGCAGCAGATGGTCAATTTTATATTGAATATATTTTACGGCAGTTTTAAAAGACACATACAGGGTACAGTGGCATGTGCCGGTCATTCTGGCTACTTGGGAGGCTGAGGCAGGAGGATCGCAACTTTGAGGCCAGCCTAGGCAACGCAAGTGGATCCCATCTCAGAAAAATAATAAAATAAAATAAAACCCTCCCACCTCATTAAACTGCCAACATTTCCTGAGGATAGATTACGTGTCAAGCTTTATAATTTTATCTTATCCTCACAATAACTCTTGGCTAATTAACATTCCCTTTGGAAAGGCAAGACCTGGAAAAAGACACGGTCTTGCTCACAATCAGCAAGCTAGAGCAGAACACAGGGGCGGCAGGCTTTGAACCCGTGTCTCACTGATAAGAGAAAAATTAAATGCAGAGCAATGTGATCTCATCAATATATTTTTGGGGGAGTACCAGGGATTGAACTCAGGGGCACTCGACCACTGAGCCCCACCCCCAGCCCTATTCTGTATTTTATTTAGAGACAGGGTCTCACTGAGTTGCTTAGCACCTCACTTTTGCTGAGCCTGTTTTGCCTGCAAATTTTTTTGGTGAATGGTGAGAGGCTTTGCAGGCCATTCATTTTTCTATCAAAATTACTCAGAATTAAAGCGGCCACAGCGTCAACAGATGGGTAAGACTGCTTCCCATACGGCTTTATCTGTGGGCACGAAGATTTCCATTTCACGTGGTTTTCATGTATCATGAAACAAGACTCTTCTTTGGAGATTTTCCAGCCACTGAAAAATACCTAAGCCACTGGGTGAGGTGGCCCACACCTGTAAGCCCAGGGGTTTGGGAGCCCGAAGCTAGAGAATGGAAAGTTCAAGTCCAGTCTCTGCAAATTACCAAGACCCTAAAGCAACGTAGGGAGACCCTGTCTCAACATTAACAATTTTGAAAAATGCTGGGGTTGTCTATCACCTCTGGGTTCAACCTACTGTACTAAACCCCTTCTCCACAAAAACCCCCAAAACGTAGCAGGTCATAGTTTGTAGGTCATTCAAAAATCAGGTGGCAGATGAGTTTGCAGATACCAGGACGCCCTTGTGACATTGTTTAGGATTCAGGACGCAGAGGGAGAAGCCCAGGGAGCCTCTTCACACTGGTAGAGGCTCCTCTGGTCTTTGCATCGGAAACATCAATTGGGCCCCTACGGGAGCTCCTGGCCTTAGCATGGATGGCCAGGTGTCTTTCAGTGACTTCCTGAACACCGGGTCACTTTATTTCTACAGGACCCCCTCAAGCTGGTCATCGACATACCTTACGGGTTTTGAGATTCTTACAAGACTTTTTCCCCCATGTAGATGGAAAGGATCACGACCAACGCGTTTGTCTCCGCCATTGACCATCTCTCCAAGTACTCCATTCAAGTGAGGGCGGCCGTGAGCCCCGCCTGCAGGACAGCCGGGCTCTGGAGTGAGTGGACTCCACCCATCTATGTGGGTGAGTCTCCGAGAACTTGGGGGGGGGGTCTTGGAACAGTTTTGCGTCTCTGCTGGGTCACATCTCCTATGACTCCACCGCTAGTTCCATCAGAGGTGGCTTCTCCAGGAAGCCAACCAAGCCTGGGTGTCCACCCGGTCCCCAAAGCAAGCCCTTCTCGTGAGTCCTACCTGTTGTCTTGCTTGGAAGCCTTTGTTCTTCCTTGAACTTTTTCAGCTAAGTGAAGATCTACAAGCTGTTCAAAGAAAAAAGAGCTCAACTGCCTTTTACGTAGCTTACCCCAAGTTCAGTGTCCTGCAAAAAAAAAACTTAGTACCATATGATGGTCAGACTATCAGGGATGCCACTGCACCTATCTTATTCAGATTCCGAGGGCTTTATGTGCATTCATTCATGGGTTCCGTTCTGCGCAATTTCAGCACATGTTGAACTGCAAGTGTCAATATGTATCTTTACAGAGATCCAAAGTGTATCAATAGGATACAGGACAGCGCATTACTAGGATTCCTGATGCTGTGCCCCCATCCCCATTTTTCTTTGGTACTGAGGATGAAACCCAGGGGTGCTTAATCACTGAGCCACATCCCCAGACCGTGTTTCCCCCCAGCACTTTTTTTTATATTTTATCTGGGTGCAGAGTTTCACCAAGTTGCTAAGTGCATCATTAAGTTGCTGAGGCTGGCCTCCAACTTTCCATCCTCCTGCCTCAGCCTCCAGACTCACTGTGATTCAGGTGCATGCCCCTGGGAGTGGCTCCTCTTGCCGATTTTATCACCGCACCCAATCTCTCTGTCTCCCTCCACCTTTCCCAGCAACCACTCATCTGCTCTCCAGCTCTGTGATGTTCCCATACCTAATTCTGAATTTATACTTCAGTTCTTTTTCTTCAAAAATGACTCTGAAATTGAGTGATCTTCAGAAAAATCTAGATCCCTCCCTGAGCCTTCTCTCTCATGGACAGAAGATCTGAATTTCTGGGTATTTCTTGAGCACCTGGGTTGTTCTGCGGTGGTTTTGGTTTTATGGTCAAATTGGCTAGTTTGTTTGGCAAGTAAAATGTCCACCTTACCTGTTAGTGGGGTCTCTGAAAGGTCACGGGCATTAGATGGTGGCTGTGCACGAAGGGCACATTTTCCCAGACCCTCCCTGGGAACACAGGCACTTCTCGAGAGAGACAGGCCAGTTAAAGAAGCAGCTATTAGGTCTCGCGTGCCTGTCAGAACCACGCAGCCCGGAGAGGCAGATGAACCCGGTCGAGGGTCTACGGGAGCAGAGAGGATAGAAAGAACCCAGGAGTCCCCCACTGAACGCCGGGGTTGAACACCCAGCCTCCGCACACACAGGGGCCTCGTATCCTTGGACACACTCATCTCTCTGTGGGACAGCAGGAAGCAACTCCAACCTGTCTGCCTCCCAGGGTTTTGTGAAACACAGCAACCAGAGCAGGTCACAGGTATGGGAGGTTATTTGCCAGACACCGTGCTAAATGACTCTCTTGCATTATCTCAATTAATTCGCTGCACCGACCTATTTTGCAAGAAAGTCTAGGTCACTTGCAAGTGGCAGGAAGAAATGGGGCTCAGCCCTAGGCTGAGGCCAGCACCCCATCTCTTAGCCCCCTGGTATGGGGTGTCAACATCCTGCAAGGCGCCAGGTGCTGTAGAAATGAAAGACCCGTGTAAGAGATCTTGGTTACCCCTCCACCCTGACCCCCCGAAATCTGCTCTGTATTTCATTGACTTCAACTACAGAGTGGATCTTGAGGCAGTGACCCATTAGACCCTGAGAATGTGAGTCAGACCTGAGGCCTATCAGGTAGACTTCCACGGAAGACCAGGGAAGAGGAACACTGTTTGGAGTCAGAGGGGCCTGGGACCCCTAAAAATTGTGCAGTGCGCAACACACATGGCCTTACGTGGTGGCCCTGACATCACTAGAGGGCTTGGAGAGCAAGCAGGAGCCTTCCAGAGGAGAGGGAACTGAAAGCAGGGTAAGAGGAACTGAGAACACACCGCATCACCTGCTGCAGGGTTCTGCTGAGCCTGAGCCCCCCTCTCCGTGCCCCGAGGTTGACCTACCTCCGCTGACCCCAGCACACAAGGGACTTCCCTCCACCCTGCTTCGTGTACACAGATAAAAAAACTCACTCTGGGCCCAGAAAGAGAAACACACAGAAGAACCACGTCTCGGCAACGCTTTTGAACAAGATGATTCATTTTGTCAGATGCCTGGGGTGGGGGGCTTCATTTTCATTCCTCGAATTCACAAGGTTTCCATTTTTAAAGTGTTTTCTGTGACTTCCCAGGGCACCAAGCTCGGTGGCCCCGTTGATATTTCTAAGCACCTTCCTAACACCACAGACAGACAGATGTGAGCTCCTTCCCCAGCCCTCTTAGATTTTGTTTTGAATGCTGCCCAAGGAACTTCAAAGCACCATGCTAGAGACCAAGGTCAAGGGGCTGGCTAAGAAACCACTTCGGCTTTGGGAAGGGGTGCCATGTGAAGGTGTCGCCCCAGTTGACGAGAGCGTGGGCCATCTAGGTGTTAGCCGGGGCTCTGCCCATGTCCAGCTCTCCCACCCAAGTTAGAAGGGACCAAAGATAATACAGAGAAGCAGGTACTCAGAGGCTGCCTAGGTACAGTGTTCAGGAGGATTCTGAGGATGAACGTAGATCAGAGGGCATGGAGATCTCCTGCCACCGTGGCAGGGGACCGAGTGGGGACTCAGCCCGTCCAGCCTGACCCCTCTTGGCCTGTGTCCTCAGGTGTGAGTCAGAGTCCCTTCCCCCTGTCACCAATCCTGTTTCTCCGCCCCCCCGCATCACCCCTCCTTGAAACTGCTGAGCGGCGAAGGGGATCCGGACGGAGGGTGCATTTTAAGCTGGTTTTGAACTCGTCCCTCACTGGCCACTTTAGGGCCCCTCTTGCCATTACGTCCTAGGCAACAGCTGGCTAGTGCAGATCTCAGCTCATTACGGGTCCCCGCCCCCTGCACCCCACCCCCAGGTGTCCCTCTTGGATGGGTGGCATTTCACCCATTTCACCGACAGCCGCCCCTTTCATGAAGAGGAGGCGAGACCGTCTCAGCCCCAGGGGCGTTTTCACGTTGTCCTGGGGGTCACCTGCTTTCACTTTTCCAGCAGTGTCTTGTCACTGTGTCGATTCAGAGGTCCCCGGGTCTTACGGAAGGTGTTGAGTTTGCAGAATTTGGGGGGAAAGGCCAGGAGGAGGCCAAGAGGGGCCCTTGGTACTAAGGACGGAACCCAGGGGGTGCTTAACCACGGAGACCCCTCCCCAGCCCTTCATTATATTTTATTTAGAGACAGGGTCTTGCTGAGTTGCTTGGGGCCTCACTAAGTTGCTGAGGCTGGCTTTGAACCCTGGATCCTCCCAGCTCTTGATCTGCTCAGCCTCCGTCCTGCCAAGCAGCAGGGCCAAGTTCCTGGACTTCTTCCGGCTCCTCTGACCCACCTGCTCCTCTCCAGTTCTCTTCCACGTTCATTTGAATGCAGATCCCTGCAGGATAAGGCCATCCTCGCCTCCTGCCCGCTGTGCATTTTTGTTGAGGATTCTGACAACACTCCGATTTGGGTCATGCTTCGAGGATTTGCAGACGTCACCTTGAGGCCTGAGTGCTGACTCCACGTCATCCCCATTAGGAAGACCCTGAATGGGCATCGAGCACCTACTCCGTGGGCACCGTGCCAAGCCCTTTGCACACATCAACCCCCCCATCTCCATTTTGCAAAGTGGGAGATAGACTGACACCCTGCTCGGCCACCTCCAAAGCAAAAGGTGGAACCCGGATGGAGCCCCTGCACCTTGCTGTCACTTTGGTTTGATGACCGCACCCCTGCAGCCGCCTTTGGGGGTTGGCAGAGGCGATGCAGCAGCTGATCCCACAGGGAAGGGAGCTGCAGGTTCGGGACTTGCACAAGGTGTGCGGCCCTTGCTGCCGGGAGGCCTTTGACTGCAGAGAAAGAAGCCGCCCTAAGCACAGCCTTCCTGGGGGGTAGCTCAGACACACAGGGCCTCTCCAGCCCTTTGTAAAGGCCCCAGCCTCCAGTCCCCATGGCCACTCCAGATTTCCCTTCACCTGAGCCATTTCTCCAGGTGAACGGGACTGCGTGCCTTTTGGGGGTGGTGACCTCCACCCTCTGCTCTCTCATGCTGTCTTTTTGGGGGGCTCCGGCTGGGGCCCGTGCTGCACTGGAGAGCCCAGGCACCTGGAGGTCAGCTTGTGCCTTTGACTTGCACTGGGAACCCGGGATCTCCTGAGAGCCACCACAGCTTGGCCCTTCCACCAGGGAAAGCTGGTTGAACCCGGCATCCTGGATGAGCACATTGAATTCTGTCCATGACTCAGCCCTCTTGGGGCCTTTTGAACGTCTCTAGAACCAAGTGAGCAAGAGGGACTTGCAGGGCAAGAGGGGCTGCAGCGTCCAGTCACAAGTGGCTTCACCAGGTCCCGCACCAGCCAGGAGCAGAGCTGGCACTCACTGGTCCAGCCCTGGGGACTTCCTCGCCCCTGGATGCCATCCCACCCCACATCCACCCCCAGGCCACAGAACAATAGAATTTCCACCCGTTGGATCATCTGCAAAGCTGAGATGTCAAAAATACAGGAGATCGAGGTCCCCAGAAACCAGACAGCTGGGTTCCCCAAATGCTCCAAGTTGGGTTCCCCAAATGCTCTAAGTTGGCCACGTGTGCAGAGTGTCCAGGAACCAAGTGGTCAATCCCGAGGGCTGCTGCCCCTCAGGACAGGCTGTGCGACTCCCTGTTTCTGGAACGCATCTTGACATGAACACAAGGCACTGCCCGGTGACTTTTTAAAAGGAAGCATCTGTGGCTGCGATTTCAGCGGTGGGCAGGGTATCGTCCTCCCGTTAGAGAAAAGATTCAAGTTACCTGGAAATTGTGAACAGTCCCGGGACTGAACCCAGGAACGTGTGCATGAAATATTTCTTAAAAAAAAAAAAATCTACAAGGCCAAAGACTCCAAAATTCAAAGTAAGGATGTGAGATGTAGGATAAAGAGAAACACTGAATCCTCAAGGAAACACCCACAAGCCACTGAGATGAAGAAAACTTAGCTGCCTGTCAATCTTGGCGTGGGCCCTTGTAAATGGAGGAAAATAGGCAAATGCAGGGAAAATGGGTGTGATGTTGTGCGCCTCCATCCTGAACCCACCTCCTGTCCTGCCCCTAATAGAGCCCTTTGATAAATATGGGGTGCCCAGCCCAAACCAGGGCCGCTCGTTCTCGAGACAGTGCACATTCTCCCTTCCATGTGCATTAACCTTCCTAAATGAACCTGTCTGTGCCTTCGTGTGGCTTGCACAGAAATTCTCTCCTGTCACTTACGTCAAGAACCCTGCTGGTATTGAGTTGAGCTCCCCATCTCCTCTGGGAACTCCCTGGACCCTTCTCTGCAGACATCTATTCTCTCGTGACATGTTCGAAGGGCTCTTCCAACTCTTAGGCTGCAGAAATCCTTAATCCTCATGACCAGCATAGCTATACCATTGGTAGGGCCTGCTCTCCTTATTCTCCCTCAGCAACACCATAAGACATGCCCGGTTCATTTATTTATAGTTATGTAGTTATAACTCACTTATTTATAGCCCCTGGCTCTCAATTCTTTGTGCATTAGGAAATAACTGGATAGCAGGTGATTGACAAGTAAGATGGTGAGTGCTCTTCCCTGCACTGACTGTACCTGCCAACATATTTGGTCTTTGCAAGGAAGCTGACCTGGTTGTGTTCTTGGTTGTGTCCTTTCTCGGCTGCATGTGAGTAGACCCTGCCGGAGTCAGGCCAGCGGCCATAACCCCCTTGCCAAACTCCCCCTAAGCACTCCAGCATGGTACCTTACGTGCACGGATAGCATTGTTCTTTTTTTGATGGAATGAAATGAAATCAGGGGCCTTGATCTCTTTGCTAATACGGGGAGAATCTTTGCTTATCAAAGGGAGAGCTGAACTCAATAACCAGAGAGTAGTTTAACTGAAAAGATCTTTGTAATCATGGTCACAAAACAACGGTGCTATTATCAGGACTTGACATATCAGGCTAGTGGGTGTTACACAATGTGAGCTGCAAACATGGCCGTGTGTGTGTGTGTGTGTGTGTGTGTGTGAGCCTGATAATATTTACAACACTGCTTCTTCTTTCTATGGGACCCCAACTTTCTCTGTCCGCTGAACCTAGTTGTAAACAGGTACCTTTCTTCTTGATTGACAGACTTGGTACAGAACTCGCATCCGTGTCGACAAGTGTAGCATCTCTGGATAGACTCATTAGGGTACTTGCCTAATGAGAAGGAGAGGGGAATGGTTTATTTTTAGGGGACAAGGTGGAAGCCGAATTCCTTTTTCAGACAAGAAGAGTGGGACATGGAGTGAGCCAGTATTGGAGGTGATGCTATAAATTCACCCCAGTTGCTCTTTAGCTATGAGCAAGTGTGGTCAAGGTCAGGTTCACCGGGGCGCTTCATCTGCAGAACTGAATCCTACCACTGATGAGCATAGGTGAGATTTGGAAAAATGAAAGGTCGTGCCTCTCGGCGGGTGTTCTCCCTAATTTTAAAAACCAAGGCTAATGCACATAGAACATTTCAAAATAAAAGCTTTTTTTTTCCCCAACAGAAACGTTATCTTTTTTAATTTGTTCTAAGTAGTTATACATGACAGCAGAATGCATTTTGACACATTGTATACAAATGGAGCATAACTTCTCATTCCTCTGGCTGTACATGGTGCAGAGTTATACCAGTCGTGTGGTCATGTGTATGTAGGATAATAATGTCTGTCTTATCCCACCATCCTTCCCACCCCCACAGCCCCACCCCTCCCCTGACTCCCCTCTACACAATCCAATCTTCCTTTATTCTTTCCTACCCTATATATTTTTTTTGATGCAAATTTGGGTTTGGCTGTTCTCAGCTTTGCAAAAACACCCAAGTGCATTTCATCTATGGGAGGTTTTATTTTATTTATTTATTTTTTGGGGGTACCAGGGTTTGCACTCAGGGGTACTCGACCACTGAGCCACATCCCCAGCTCTATGTCATATTTTATTTAGAGACAGGGTCTCACTGAGTTGCTGAGCACCTCGCTTTTGCCGAGGCTGGCTTTGAACTCGTGATCCTCCTGCCTCAGCCTCCTGAGCCGCTGGGATGACAGGCATGTGCCACCAAACCTGATTTATGGGCAGTTTTTGATCTAGACCTGGAACTGTGTATCCTGACAGGGTCAGGAGGAAAGGCCTGGGAGAAGACTTAAATTAAAAGATAAGATAAAAGATAATAGTTGCAAATATCCAGGGGTCACGGGATGGAGCGGAGAGGGCCAGCCGAAATTACACAGGGGAGACGGAACATTTGGGTAGCAGAACCCACAGTTGTGTTTCAAGGAGGACTCGACCTTCGACAGACTGAAATCCAGAAAGGAGGTTAGGAAGACAGGACTTGGGAGAAAAAAATCCAAGAATCCTTTGGCTTTGGCTTTGAAGACATCACCAGGGATTGTGTTGGGCACATGAAGCAGCCCAAATCCTTTAGTCTAGAAACTAGGGCTGGGAGAGGAAGGAAGAGGCATTTGATGCTAGGTTTGAGGAGGTGGCCCAGCCAAACCACGGCTTCTTCAAGACGGGATCTCTGTGAATATCCGAAAGCAGAAGAGCTTTGGGGAAGTACAAGAGGAACCTCAATCAGAGTCCCCAGAAACCCTCAAAGCAAGAGATGAGGTGGAGAGGAGTCACGGGCGCCCGATCTAAAGAACTTCTCCCTCTTGGTTCTTGATTTTTTTTTCTTTTTGTTTTTCTTTCTGGTTTTGAGTCATCTGGGGTTTGGGGAAGTCTTAGTCTATTTACACAGCCTGGAACTCTCCGTCTGTATATGCATTTCGCATTTTATAGACCAAGTCAAGGGCAAACTGAGGATTGGAGGCTTCTTCTCCCCGGGCACTCGGAACCCCACCACACCTGGGCTCAGGTGTCCCGATATCCTGTGCTGTGATTTACCTCCTGCAGTTTTTCCCACCTGTTCTCTTCACCACTGTGTCCCAGGACCTTGGACAGTGCCCCAAACATCCGAGGAGCCTCCTAAATCCTTGTTCAATGGATGCATGATGAAGGAGGGGTCGTTGCCACAGAAAGCAAGCTGCTGTGTTCAGGGACCTAACTCAGGGTTTATAGAGGCATTTTACAAGCACACACACCCCTCTGCCTGCCTTTGTTGTTTGTACTGGAAATTGAACCCAGGGCTGCTCCACGGCTGAGCTGCGCATATGCCCAATCATTTTTCTTTTTCCCTAAGACAGAATCTTGCTAAGTCACTGAGACTGGCCTCAAACTCACAATCCTCCTTCCTCAGTCCCTTAGACACAGGTGTGCACCACCCACCACATCGACTAAGGACGTCACTTCTTTAAATACCACTTAGTGAATGGCCTTGGGTTTTTCTTGAACGCTTTCCCAGTACCTTACCAAAAAAAAAAAAAATGATACACACACCCCAAAGCTATCATTGAAACCCCCAAGTGTCTGTCTGTCCCTGGAGTGTGGATTAGGAACACATTTAGATGGAGACTAAGATGCATGCCAAATACTTACTGCACGGACCAATGGCCATTTCTATCTACTTTCCTATCTGTGAAGTGGGTATATGGGTAAAGGAGGCTTTGGGGGGAGTCTAGATCATAAAGCACTTACAGCCGAGTCTGAGATCACTGTGTCAACTACAGATATGCTCTCTTACTCCCTCCACCAGTTCAGTTTTCAACTTTGTAAAAAATGCTTTTACAATTAGTTTGCTAATTGTGAACTAATTTTGGGCTTTTCCATCAAGAAAATCTGACTCCTCAAGTGGATGGGCTCCAGGTGCAGGTGGATTGGACTCCGTCAGGCCTTGCCAAATGAATAAATAATGCATGGCGATTAAAAGTGGCCTCACTTCTATTTCATTTCATTTCACCCTCTTGGCCAGTTCAGGGCTATGACATGATCATCTCAGTCTCAGGAAGGTGAAGCCACCTGCCCAGTGTTACCCACCACTTACCACTCAAACCCCAGCCTCCTGATGCCCAAGCCTCAACCTTTCTTTTATCTGCCCCTGATCCCTAACTCTGATCTTTCTCTCTTTCCTCCCACCAGGAAGCGAGGCGCGGAAGCCCCTGATGGAATGGCTGCTCATCCTGCTCACGGTGACCGTCTGCTTCGCCGTGTTGATCTGCCCGCTGCTCTGCAGGATGTAGGTCTTCTGTCTCTGCATCCATCAGACACAGGGTGTTTGTTATCAGGTCGAATTGATAGCATTTCTTTTTGTTTCTGGGTAGCCTTTCTGAGGTCAGTGGAGACCAAATAGATAGCGAGACGCATCAGCAGGCCTGGCTCAGACGCTGGACAGAACACCTCGTGGCCCTTGGCCACTGCCCACGCTCTCAAATTCCTCAATGACCCCCTCATTTCTGTGAAGCATTTGACCTTGGTGTTCTAGCCTTCCCATTCAGTGCTAACTGGGCTTTTTTAAAATTATCTTTTTATTTTATTTTTTTGCTATGGGTCTTTGATAACCCACCCAGTCCCAGATTTTCAATTCTGCAGTGAAATCAACACAGGTGCAATGAAACAGAGTGGAAACCGTGCTCATATATAAATTCAAATGCTCTCACCAATCACCTATTACTTTTCTCCAAGGAATGGAGCCCTAAATACCTACCATTTCTATGCCATAAGCCTCAATGGTGGAGTGCTGCCTTCTGTCACCTGGCCCCTCGGGGCTGGTGGCTCTTAGGTCCAACACAGATCCTGGAAATGCCATGCAGACCCTGCAGCTTGCAAATGGCCCCAGATCCCTCTCCATCCCTGGTAGCACTCTGTAGGATAAAGTACCCTTCCGAGGCTCCACGACATGTTCTGTCTCAGCCCTTTCATAATTCGGAAAATGAACTTCATGTGAAACCGCTTTCCTGTCCTGAATGTTCTGTCCACATGGGCTGGGGGGCAGGTGAATGGCAGTCACAGGAAGAGAAAAGCAAGCAAGCCATGTCCGGGCGTGAGCATCACAGGAAGGACGCAGTGTCAGGACCCAGCCTAGCGACATGCACCCATGTCCCCTCTCCTCTGGAAGTCTGGATCAGCTGATTTTTGGTATTTTTTCATACTAGGGATTGAACCCAGGGACACTTAAGCCCCATGAGCCCCCCTCCCTAGCCCTTTGGATATTTTATTTAGAGACAGGGTCTCACTGAGGTGCTGAGGGCCTCGCTTTGGCGGAGGCTGGCTTGGAACTCTCGATCCTCCTGCCTCAGCCTCCTGAGCTGCTGGGATCATAGGTGTTCAGCACCGTGCCCACCCTGGATCAGCGAAGGTTTTGAGTTAATCCATCGTCCAGTCCTGGGGCTGACGAGGTCAACTCTCAGAGTAGACACGGAGGCACAAGAGAGACGCCCGTGCTCACCGGCTCCTTCCTTTATTCTGTTTTCAGATGTCACTTGTGGGCCAGGTTGTTTCCACCTGTTCCAACCCCGAAAAGTCACATCAAAGATCTCCTGGTGACCGCTCACTGTGAGGTAAGGCTGAAGGTCTCGAGAGGCATGGTGAGCGCCCGGGGTGCTGCCCCTGGGGAACCACCGCTGAGCTCTTGACTTTCTCTATGATAAGGCAGGGGTTTCCCCCAGGAGGCCAGGGGACGGTCACTGGGGTGGTCTCGTTTGGCTGATTTTGGTTGGACAGGTTCACTGCTGTCTCATTAAGGTCCCACCCCATGATGAGCGCCCTGGCCTGCCCAGGCAAGCTCTGTACCGCTGAGCCACAACCTCAGCCCATAATCTTCAGATGAACACATCCTGTCCCCAGGTGAAGTATCTCGGCATCTTTGTGGTGAATCACGTTTCTATTACCCTGTTGCACTCTATCTTTGACTTCGTTGATCTCCCTGTCTGTTTTCAAGAGGAAGAGAGAGAGAGAGAGAGAGAGAGAATTGTGTGGTCTGGTGCGATCAGCCCTGTGGCCTAGATTCCCAACCACAGTGCTCCTGGGGCTGGCCACAGCTGAATGACACGTGGCAGGGACCCAACCTCTATCTCCAAAGGCAAAAGCCCTCTGTCCTACTCTTGGGGCCTCTGCTACCAGAACAAGGGGACCCCCCGGTGTTATTGGCAGTGACCACCAAGAAGTGACCGGCGAGTGAGAAGGGAACCCTCAACTTTCAATTCTGCTGCTGTCAGTGTCTACGGGGGATTTGCTCCAAGGCTCACTGTGGATTGCAAAAGTCACAGATGTTCAAATCCTTTATATCAAAGGGGGCGGTATTTGCACAGAACCTGTGCGCATCCTTTCAAGCCTAATGCCTGATCTTGTGCAACTGCTAGGTAGGAAACGGTCACACTGCGCTCTTCAGGGAGAAACGACAAAGAAAGCCAAGTTCATACAGGTTCAGGACAGACGCAGGTTTTTTTTTTTTTTTTAAATTTTCCTCAAAGATTTTTGTTCTGGAGTTGGTTGGACCCGCAGATGCAGGATTCAGGGATTCAGAGGACCGACGGCGGTAGCTGGCGCAGAGCTCGGTTCTGGGTGCCCAACGACTGGGGACCTGGGGGATCTCTGCCACCCCAGAGCTCTGGTTAAGCAAGGGCTTGCTCAGATCTCAGTTCGAAAGAGGAACATTCAAGAGACAGTGAAGCAAGGAGATCACATGACCTTACAAGGTGACAAAATCAGGGGGCACTTATTTAAGAAAAAAACAAACAGATAAACTTATGCTGAGCTTTTAATTTATTAGAGTCTGCTTTCTATCTAACCAGAGAGTTGCTCCCCGAGCGAGCTCAACTGTAAACCTTTAAATTAGGTGAGGCTGTGTGTGGGGTAAGAGGAGGAGGAGGAGAGGGCCATCCACTCTTAGAAGGTTCCAGACTTTCCAATTATCTGCATTATGTTGGAGCCCAAACTGTGCATAACAAATGTCCAAATTGAGGGGAATATTGTAACGGACAGTGGAAGAATATGAGCGATCACAAAGCCAAAGAACATATATCCATATTTAAGATACCACATTATGTTACAGAGAAAGAAATAAATTTGCAAAGCCGCCTGATGACTGCGGAATACACTGCATGCTTAGCGAGGCTGAGGTCTGGGGGTTCAATCCCCAGCACCAAAAATAAGGAAAACTGGGCAGCCCTATGTCTTAGTCACAAAAAATGTACAGAATGCTTGATGCGTATCAAAGGTGCTGGGAGAGACAGCGGTGGGTGATGGGTAGGTTTTATTTTTCTCTTCTCCCTACTTTTCTATAGTTTCTTCAACAGTCACTCTATTTTTATTTTTTAAAATCACTTGAATCATAAAGAGTTTGGAGAGATGAGGTGTTTGCTCAGAGACATCTAAGGAGGGGATGTTTCCTTTTGCAGAAAGCGGGTTCCAGTGCCACAGAGACGGAAGTCATAAGTTTCGTGGAAGGGCTTGGATGTGAGGTCTTGGAAAATTCCGTGTTCTGATTCCTTGGAGCCTTCTTGGAAGGACTTGCACCACGTTCTGGCCCATGAGAACAGGGACGGCTGCTTCTTCCGCGAAGACGTGTTCAGCATTTAAGGAGCCCTCAGCAGGGCGAAAGGGGCGCACGCCTCAAATCCCAGCGGCTTGGGAGGCTGAGGCAGGAGGATCCAAGCTTGAGGCCAGCCTCCGCAACTAAGCGAGGCCCGAAGCAACTTAGCGAGACCTTGCCTCAGAAGAAAATAACAACACTGAGCTGAAAATCTCAGGAAGGACATGGGCCTAAAGTCAATCACGAATCCGGATTCAGAGAACTGTCTTTCCCATAGCAATCGGGAGCTGCCCATTTTTGAGGGCTTTTTTCTTGGACTTCTAGAATCCCTTTTGCTCAAGGAGCAGGCATGTGCGTGTGAGAGAGAGAACCAAACAGACTCTCTCAAGCCCCAGCGGCCTGATCCAGGGAGCACCCTTTGAGGCAAACTGATGTGAAAACATCACCCTGCTCTTGAAGGTAGCATTAATATTCTGGAAATATTAAGGAAATATCTCTGTCACCTTGACAAGCCTGTGTGGCCTCTAGTCACCTTATCAATGCCCCCATTCAACAGAGGCACTCACAGACGTTGAGAGAGGTCCGTAGGCAGAAAATGGCATAGTGAGGAGGTGAATGCCAAGTTCAGGTGACCCCAGGAAGAGCCCATGGGGGGAAAGATAAGACCTGCTTTAGGGAGCAGGAAGGCCGAGCCTAGGGATGTGCTGTAGTCATTTACCAAGGGTTTGCCCCCCGCCATCTGACCCAGGATCCCTGGAAGGTGTCCAGAAAACTATTTTTAATGAACACCTTAGATCAGGAGTTGTAAGCAAGCATCCGCCGGGCACCGTGGTGCACACCTGTCATCCCATTGACTCGGGAGGCTGAGGCAGGAGGATCGCGAGTTCAAGGCCAGCCTCGGCAATCAGCGGGACCTTGTCTGAAAATAAAAAGGGCCGGGGATGTGGCTCCGTGGTAGAGCGCCCCTGGGTTCAATGGCTAGTACCACAATATATAAATAAATAAAGCATCGGAGTCACCTGGAGGGTCATTAAAATCCTGAAGACCGGGCCCCATCCTCAGGTCTGAAGGAGGAGGTCTGGGACAGGCTCTGACAATTTGCACTGCCCACCAGCTCCCCGGTACCCCTCGTGCCGTGGGTCTTGGGATCACACTTGGAGATTCGCTGCCCTGGGTGACTCTGTGCCTCACCCACGTTGAAAGTGGACTTCAGACCTGGGCACCCAGAAGCACCCAGGAGCTGGACAACTGAAGCCGTGGGGGGCCTTCTCTGAACAGGCAGGCGCTGGGACATGGGGTCTGCAGTGCCCAGCCTTCCCCAGGCTGCAGAGAACTGGGAGCCCTGGAGGGGATTGTTAAGGTCCCGGGGCCCTCAGTAAAACAGGTGAGTGTCAGACACGTGGGGTCTCCTACATCCAGACCCCAGCTGTGGCTCCTGAGAGCTGAGGGGCTCCTCAGGGGATGCTGTGGTTTTCAGATAAGTGACGTCGTTATCTCTTGCGACCAACGATGTCGTAACCACCCTGGGTCCAGGCCCTCACAGAGGAAGTGGCTGGGGCCTAGCCGAAGGGTACGATTTAGGGGAGACGGGCAAATCAAGGCAGGAAGAACGCAGGACTCAGTTAGACCTGTGAGCACCCCGCCGTCCTCAATTTGAGGCAGTTGGTGCTGGACATAACCCTCTCCCTTCACTCTCTCTATTAAACGTTTTGTTTACTATTGTGCGTTTCGCTCAAATTCTTCCTGGTGAAGTCACAAGGACCTGCCCCGCGCTCCCCCCACCCTGGCAGCCCCCCAGCCCCATAACCACCTCCCTGGGAAGCCTTCAGAAGCACAGCTGGTGGACACTGTCTCTAGATTCTCCTTCTGGGCCTCCATGCCAGCCTCAGAGCGGGTACCCACGGGAGGAGACTGCTCTCCACTAGACTGTGAGCTCTCAGCACACAGTGCACAGGAGAAATGCATCTTTTTTTAATCCTCGGTTCCCAGAACAGGGCCGGGCACGGGGGCACACTCCTGTAAGCCCAGCGGCTCAGGAGGCTGAGGCAGGAGGATCGCAAATTCAAAGTCAGCCTCAGCCACTTGGCGAGACCCTGAGAAACTTAGCAGAGACCCTGTCCCTCAATGAAATACTTTTCCAAATGGGCTGGGGATGTGGCTCAGTGCCTCTGAATTCAATCCCCAATCCCCCTCCAAATTGCTGTATGGTATAAGAGGGGTCAGACTTCAGAAGCGGCTAACTTTTGCGGGGGGGGGGGCTACACTGTTCCCAGTTTCTCTTTTGAATATAGCACTTACTGTTTATTTAAAATGGACAGATTTTCTTCTTCTTCTTCTCCCTCTCCCCAACAAGATTAGAGAGACAGGGCTCTCTTTTCCTACCCTAGTTAATTGTCCTTGGACACACTGGCTACAGGAAGGATTTATCTGCCAGATGACCTAAGAAATAAATATCTAAAAAACCTTCAGGGTGCCCTGGGACTCCCCCCTGCCGCTTTACAGCCACAGGATCAGAACCAACCTCGGGGTCTCTCTCCAAAACATCCTTTGCAAGACTCCAGCCCAGCCTCTTTCCTTCAACTTGAAATTGGATGCACATCACGGCAGGAGTGTGTGGGGGGGGGTTGTGGGGGGTGGGGTGGGGGTGCTGAAGTTCCCAATTGCTAACAGTTGAAGCCCCTGAACCTCCCTGAAATGCCGGGGGCGGGGGGCTCAAGCTATTTACGCAGCCCAGGGAAGAATGCTCTCCGGCAAAGAACGTCCTGATTAAAAATCCAAACATTTTCCGGATGAGACTTGTCTGTGTCAGGGCCATCTGTTAGTGGAATTCATAAACTCCCGGTGCTCATTTGTTCAAGAAAAAGTCGATTTCTGGAAGCGGGAACAGAGCCCTGAAAACACTCTTTGATGGGGGCCAAGGTGAAAAGCTTCGTGAGAACAGGACCTAAGGGTGGCCTAGGGATCTCTGTGACCGGGACTCTGTAGCCCTGTGCGCTTCTACTGCCCATAAACCAAGTTCCAGGAGGCCGCAGACTTCTCTAGAATTCCATATTGAACTTCCATCTTATTTTCTCTCAGTCACCCTGTGCTTTAGGTAATAGATGTGAATGTGAGTGTGATTCAGAATGAGGAGTGTTTAACAGGGATGGCAGTGAATTGTCCAAACACTGAAGAGGGGCGTTTTTCTGTTTTTCTTTCTCTTGTCTGTGCACATTATTGTCTGACCTCTGGGCTGGGACTGGTGCAGTAGCCTCTGACCTGAACTGACCTACTTCAGTCTTTTCTTTCCGTTCAGGACACATCTGCTGGTCACCCTAGCACACCTGTCCTCCGACCCGCTCGGGAGCTGCTGGGATTCCAGGCTTGGACCACCGTGCCCCGCCCTCAGCTCCCTTTTTAAACCTCCTGGTCATGTCAAAATCTGCACGTTTGCTCTGGAAACATCTTTTTGTCTTAATTCTCTCTGTTCTCAGAGGAACCTCAGAGCCCTGGTTCTCAGAATCTCTCACACATTCCCCTCATCCAAGGAAAGGCAAAAAGAGAGTCCGGTAAGTGAAATTGAAAAGACAGCAAACCTCATGCCTCCCCCTTGCAGCTTAAGAGCTCAGCAAGACCCCTGGATATTGGGTTAGAAATTAATCAGCCAGGGTGCATCTTCCTCCCCCCCCCGATAAGATGGGAGGTTTGGCAAATACATAGCGAGGAGGACCAGATCACGTTTCATTTGAATTTCCGGTAAATATTGCATGCGTGACATCGTTATACTGAAAAAGTCGACATTTAAAAAAATCTGAAATCGAGTTTAACCGGGCTTCTTTTATTCATTCTGTCAATCCCAATACTTGCAGAGTATCCTGAGTTTGAAAAATCAGCTCTAAGTCACTCGGTGCAACTCTAAAGTCCCTGGGTACACTCTAAGTGCACTCTAAGTACACCAAGCAGAAAACACAATTTGCAGTCAAGGACAGAGCAACAGCCCCGCTAGTCCACTTCAGAGTAGAAAGTCCACTTACACCTGAGCTCTGTGGGCCCTCTCTGCAAGACTTCTACACCTGGGTGCTCAGTCTAGCCCCGATCACCTACCTTCCTGCCTTCCTTTCTTTTCATGTGGTACTAGTAGTTGAACCCAGGGCCTCCTGCCTGTACTGAGCTACACTCCGGACCCTTTTGTAACTTTTCTTTTGAGACAGGGTCTTGCTCAGTTGCTGAGCTGGCCTCCAACTTAAGGAGCCTCCTGTCGGAGCCTCCTGAGTAGCTGAAATCATAGGTGTGCACGACTGTGCCCAGAAACCGGCCATTTTTCAACAGTTTGTATAGGATTCCTTTCTTATGGCTATGTGGGCATGACTCTGTCTTTATTTGTTTATCAAATATAAAAACCTAGAGTCCTACCTTCCTCTGTTTCCTGTGCCATGAAATGCACTGTCTACTGAAGTTCAAGTTCAACTTCAGGGCCTCGTCCCTTCTTCTATCTTGTCAATCACTAAATATCGACCTCTAGGTGTTGAAATGTACCAGACGGTTTCAAAATCTAGTCCTGACTTCCTACCTATCTGTGTTTCTTTGGGCTTCCTCTGCTATCCGCTCTTGGCCTCTAATTCACAAATAAAAAAGAGGGACCCAAATTTGCATCTCTCATGGGTTGGAGTAAAAGACACTTGGACAACTAGGAAAATAAAAATCAAAGACGCCACTATTTGTTCGTGAAGACATATGGATCTCCTGGCGTAGTCTGAGTTATTCCTAACAGTCGGTGAGAATGGGTAGAGAGAACCCCAACTTAGAGAGATGGGGCATATCACATTTAATCGCATCCATACTTAAGTCCCTTAGACTTGCAATTTCAGATCTCTTATGTCATCGACTTTTTTTTTTTTTTTAAAGATCTCTTCTCTGTTATTTGTATTATTGTGTGACATGTCCATGGTTTGACTAACAGCATTCTTTGAGCACATTTCAGCAAGGAAGAGCTGGTGTGTAACTGGGGAAAGGTTTGTAGGGATTCAACTTATCTCCTGCCAACCCAAATTTGGACAGTAACGATAACTCACTCATTCTGTCTGGTTAAATGCTTATGGCAACGGCCCCTTCCCAGGCTGGGAGAATTCAGGGCTTACCCGAGGAACCAAGGGCGTCCTCCCCATCTTCTGGTCTGTACCCGGGGCGTGCAGGCTCTGTCAGAGCAAGATGCATTGAGAGAATCCAGCCATCTGTCAGAACAGAATGTCCTTCTACAGAGTTGAGTCACAGGTGGATTACATACAGAGGAGAGGATAAGGGTGAGAGTCTCAAAACGTTAAATAAGTAAAGCAGAATTTCCCCAGTGTTCTTCATTCAGGGAAAAGAAACACCAACAACAAACCTCAGCGGGTGACACATTCTATCTGAGAGTATCACTCGGGGCCATGCCTGAGACCTCCCCTTGAAAGTCAGTTGTTCAGAACCATCTATTTCCCCAACTTCTGCAAACATCATTTCCAACTTTCCTTAACCAAAACTACTTTTCTCGATATGTACAGGCTCAGTGTGATCAAGGTGCTTGGGCTATGTGAGCACCAACTGGGTCAGACACTTCCTGGAGAACGTGGGTATTGTGCAGAGGGGAATGTGCAAACCAGAAACAAAGATGGTCCCACAGTCTGGCTGCTCAGACTCCAAGGCTCTGTCCGAGGCTTGATCCTTGAGTGTTTCCTAGCCTCCTGGGATCTGAGAATGATAGGTCAGCAGCCAACAGATCAGACGAGTTGGGGGGCAGGTACCTGTGGGGAGCTTTTCCTTCAGCCCCATCAGACCCACCTGATCCAGAGGCCGAAGCTAGAGGTGGAGGGAGCTCATCAAAGCCTAGACAGTGAGAAGCCAGGCCTTCCGACACCACGCAGCAGCACGTCACCAGGGTCACCATGACACTCTCTTCCGTGGCCGGTCTGCTGTGGCCCACGGGCAGGCAAGCGATGCGAAGTGCTACTTCAAAGACCCCTTGGATCCATTCATCCCTGAGTACTTTACTGCAAGGCACGGTGCTAGGCACGAGTGGAGGGCACACGGAGGAGAAGACCGACCTCCCTGCCCTCGGCGAGCTTACAGTCTAGTCGGGAAGACGAGGCGCACAGACCAGGAAAAGATGGGGACAATACAGGCGTTGACGTTGCCATCCAAGATAACAGTACAAGAGTTTTCCCAAAGTAGATTCCTGACGGAGGGGAGGGCTGCAGCAAATTCAAAGGAAGGGCATCACGAGGGACAGGCGTGTGGGAGAGCTTCACAGAGGAGCTGGGTGGGGCCTCCCCAGGATGGTGGAGCTTTGGGTGGGAGAGAGGATGGGAAGGGGCAGCCGTGGGACCCAAAGGCACAGAGGTGAGACCAAAAGGAAGAATTAGGGAGGGCTCAGAGTGAATGGATCTGGAGTTGAATTGGTTTAGATGAGGAAGAGAGTTCTGGGCTCAAGTTTAGACTTTAACCTTTTGGCCAAGGGGTTGGGGGGCAGCAGGACATTTCTTTGTGGATTTTTTAGTTTTGGTACTAAGGATTGAACTTGGGGGCACTCGACCACTGAGCCACCTCCCCAGCCCTATTTTGCATTTTATTTAGAGACAGGGTCTCGCTGAGTTGCTTAGTGCCTCGCTTTTGCTGAGGCTGGCTTTGAACCTGCGATCCTCCTGCCTCAGCCTCCCCAGCTGCTGGGATTATAGGCGTGAGCCACCGTACCCGGCTCTTTGTGGATTTTGACCTTCTCTGTTTGCAAAGAGGATGTGAAACGGTGTCTCTGGGGTTGTTAATTCCGAAGGGTTGTCCAGCTTTGGGTCATGGCCAGAGACTTTTGAGTCCTTCTATGATCCCAAAGGTGAGCTAACACATTCCCTGACAGGAAAAAGGCTCCCAGAAGACAAGTATCTTTACAAATGACAGAATATTTATTAACAATACCTTTTAAAAAAAGATTACATATGCTAGGTCACTGGTAAATATCATTTACACTGGGGGAGGGTGGATGGGAACTACCCGGGTTGTCATTTTTTTTAAAATTCATTTTATTATTTTGCTGATTTTTTTTTTGCGTGTGATTTTAAATTTTATTTTACTGGAACACAGAAGTAACCATATCCAACTAAGAAAGGAACACAGCTTGAAATACTGACAATATATATATCTAATTTTTTTCCCCCCGGTTACCTGATTTTGACACCGGTCGAATCCTGATCACGTCTTTATTGGCGAATGTAACTAGAAGGTTGAAAAAGTTTAACTTGTATTATTGGTAAGCAAAACCCGACCCACAACAGGCAAATTTTGAGATCTCTGAGAAAGAAGAAAAGGCGACAGATGTTTACAAGTCAAAGTTTTTATAGAAAATTGCATTGCCTTTTATATTAGGGTTCCACGAACGCCCGTTTACAAAAAACCTCCCCCGTAACAAATAGCTCTTTTCATAAGAATATGACTTTGTGGATATTGTCATTTTTCCAACGTGTGATTTTGGAGAACTTACAAGGTAAAAGCTCATAAAGCAACAAGGCTAGAGATTGCAAAGCAGGAGATTCATCAAGATACCAGACAATTGTACTAAAGATCTTTTATAGAGTCATAGGAAAAAAAAAAAATTCTCGGCAGCAACTGTTTTGCTGGAACAGGAGAAATCTTCCAAACTGCATGTATGACTATGATTCAAAAGAAGGGCGCTAGTATTACAGAGAGACACGTATCCTCTATAAGAAACTGTGCCAAGAGAGGATGAATCCATTGACGGAGAATGACTTCTTTTAAAATTCACATTCCAAACAGATACATGGAAAGAGAGTAAAATTATCATTTTTGTTTTTTAAATCCTTTGAAAAGACTTGGGTGGCTATCGTAACTTTGGATCTAGGTTACTACAGGGCAGGTAACTTCAAATTTAACGTCTAAGGTAATGCTACTACGAAGACGACGATGCTAACTTAGTCGAGGGAACAGAAAGTCTTACCATCTGATGACGAATTCATATTATGAGAGTATGAGGATATTGTACAAGGTACCTCTTGGACAGAAAGTTTAGCTTTTGAGACCTGCAACCGTTGCTAAAACCATCTCAAGTTGTATTGAACAACAGAATTCACCCTGAAGGCAGGAAATCATATTATACATGTCAAAAGGATTGGATTCAATGCATTAACCATTCAGAGAGTAATTTATATACAGCAGCCTTGAGTTAGAGACCCAAGCTCTTCTGCCATCAGAGCCTTGTCAAACTCTACAAATCATTTGCAATGTATTTACCAAGATGGGCTTCCAACTCTTTCAAGGAAGTATTTTCAAATCATCATTGTATACGGTTGTGTTGCCCGTAACATTTTTTTTTTATAGCAGAGGAAAAAAAATTAATATCTACATTATATGTTAACTTTAAAAAATTCTATAAAACACTAAATATATAATAAAAAATATGCATATAAGGACATATGTAAACTGCTTTGGTAACATCATATTACAGATGTCTTCAGTGCATTGCAGAGTTTCCAAAGAAACCTCAGGACAAAGCTAGATTTGCTTTGAGGAAGTACTGTAGAATACCATTCCTAAAGAAGCAAAAAACATTTTTTTTTCCAGTAATAAGATGTACTCGAACAACAATATTACTTAGTACTGGGTGTCTTCAAAACAACTAGCTAAATGTTGCTTAGAGTATAAACAGCAAGTCCTTTAGAGACCGTTTGTCATAAACTAGACCTGGCTGTGAGGGAGATCATGAGGGTACTGATGGCCGATAAGGTGCACGCGTTCGAAGTGGAAGCCCCCGAGCCTCTGGCATAGAAATCTGCAAAGACAGAAGGAGTCCACTCAGCAGGAATCCACCCAGTAGGTAGTCGCACACCCCGCCCCTGCTCCAGAAAAATCTTCATTAAGGTTTTCCAGAAATGCACACCCTAACTGATCTTAGGACCATCAGCAAAAGAAACTCTACAAAAAGGTTCAAGGTGGTGGATCGAGATCTGCAACCATTACAGAGAACGCTTTTCCCTCTGCACCTGGCTGCAACCAAGTCAATCTGCTTCCTGCTGTCTTTGGAGTCTAATCTCATCTGTTCCCACTATAAGTCAAGAGGGGGGAGGAGACACAGGGCTTCACACAGGGGCGGGGCCCCCCCCCCCCCCCCGAAAAATGTGATCTCCCAGTGCCTCTGGAGCTACCTGGCTAGGAACCTGGGAGCAGGTGACAGGAAATCCCTGCCACTCTGTTTGGCCTTTTGTAAAATGAGGCTATGGATGTGGAATGTGGGAAGAAATTTCTCCCCCTTCCCCTCCCCCCCCCCCCCCCCCCCCCCCTTCTTCTTTTTTTCTCCTCCTTTTTGGTACCAGGGGTTGAACCCAGGGGCCCTTAACTACTGAGCCACATCCCCAGCCAACCCCCTTTTTATTTTTTTATTTAGAGACAGGGTCTTGCTAAGGCTGGCTTTGAACTTGTGACTTTGATCTTTCCCTTGACCAACATGACATTTAAATCTTATATAAGCTTCTCAGGGACCAGGTATTGTTGTGACTCCATTGGATGGATGGGGAGCCCAGGACCCAAAGAGGTGAGATACCACATCTAAGATTGCGTTGTCAGGGGACAGCTGAATTGGCAATCAAAGCCACGTCCGTCTAAATACGTGCCCACTTTTCTCCAAACAAAACAATCTCAATCTTTACAAAACTCTTCTGAGGGGTCTTATGTTTTTTGTAAGAATTTTCTAAGACTCGTTCGAAGTTTTTTCAAAGTGGCCAATCTTTTTTGACCTACATAAGGAAAAAAATCCCTCGAGGAAAGGGATCCTCTGCTGGGTCACATCCTTACCATGTCATCTAACCACACCCATGTCATCATCTAACACACGTTTTGGTAAAGAATGAAAAAAAAAAAAAAAAACAGGAATCATCAGGCAGCCTAAAATTGAAAAAAAAAAATTTGCAATGCTAAGAAAAGCATGTGGTCAGATTTTAACAAAGAGAGAGAAGCAAAACCCGGATCTTGTGTTCTCATGGTGTGGAGGTTTCGTCCACTTCTCACCATACATCTACTTACCTTTCAACCAAAAGTTAGAAATCTTCTTTGGTGAAGTCTCCAATACAATCCCCCTAGGTTTATCTATTTTCTATTTTATTTTTTTATTTTTGCAGTACTAGGGATTGAAGCCCCGGCCTCCGGCATGCTCTACCATTAATCACCCACAGACCATACCCCTGAAAAATAATGCTGTCAATAAACTCCATTAGGAACCACACCTATGTCCTGGAGGTGGCTCTTGGGGAGCCTCTGCTTGACATCAAAATACTTTAATATTAACAAACTAATACTAAATACGAAATCCAGCCCGAACAAGACTCAACCCAGAGGGAGAGCAAAATGGCCCAAGAGCGTTTCAGGTACCCAGATTTTGTAAGTGCAATAAAATGGCTTCATGGATTCATGACTGCTATTTAGTACTCATAAAACATAGCAGGTCCTTCGTTCATCTGAGAAACCTATGGGCACTTAGCAGAAGGATACTCAGGGCTAAAATTCAGGACTCTGTGGTGAGGATTTTCATTATGATTTAAAATATCATCTCTCCACTGACGGCTTGAAATTTTACAGCCTGCGCTGATCCCCTAATCTCCAGACTGCTAAATCCAAAGGCTAGTGCCCATCTCCCCTCAGACGTCTAACAGCAATCTTTCTTTTGTATTGTGCCAAAATACACAAAACAGAAAAGTGACCATTTTAACTAGTTTAAAGGGTACGGAGCCTTGTCATCCATTTAGACACTCTTCGGCCAGCATTGCTATGTATGTCTAGAAATTTTTTCATCATCCCCAAATGAAAACCCAATATTCACTCAACTTCCACCCCTACCTGGCCAGCCACGGCCAACCACGAACCTGCTTTCTGTCTCTACAATTCTATAGAATTGAATGGATTTGCTCAAAACACATAAAAACAGAAATACATTAAAAAAATTTAAAAATGTATATAAAAACACAAACAGAAATGCCTGAAATCATCAAGTCTCGCACATTGTTCCACATGTTTGAAAAGGAGGAGAATCCTGAGTGTGTATTTATGCACCTGTCGCACACGCACCCATTCAAAACCAGCAGTGTTAAGTTTAACACATTTCCGGAGGAAGACACTGAACGATATGACAGCTACGGGGGTCTCTGGGAGAGGATTCTTACTTGATATCTTTGGGATTCGAATCTGCTCACTGCTGCTGCCGTCGCCTCCGTCGCTGAACGGCTTAATCTCTATGATGTAATCCTCATCGAAAGGTAGCGAGAGCTCCACCGAGGTCTTATTTGTCTCGATGACAGATGTGCTGCTCTGTCGGTTCCATCTGTACAAGACCTGCGGGTACAGGAAGGGGTCACCTGCTGTCCTCGCGAAGACCCCGAAGATGGGGGTATTCATTTGTTTTTTGCCTGTGACACCCGTGACACACAGAGATGCTGAGATTCTCTGGCTGCCCATGGATTTAGAAAGCCTGTTCGTGGAAAGGGTTGTGCCTGCAGCTCCCACTTCATTATGAGGGAAGAGCATATGTCGAGGGACTGGGGCAGCTGCATTGCACCAAGATGCTGTGTGGCTGGCCTCTTGGAGGGGGCCCCTTAACACACCTGGCAGAGGATGGAGTGGCAGATGCACATCAGGGGCTGTGGGGGCAGAATAGATTCGGCCACTGTGTGTCTGGGCGCCTCATTGTCACCTCTTGAGACTCACTCACTTCCCTAGTTTATCAGATGGCAATAATAGCCGGGTGCACTTGCACACGCCTGTAATCCCAGTGGCTCAGGAGGCTGGGGCAGGAGGATCAGGAGTTCAAAGCCAGCCTCAGCAAAAGGGAGGCCCTAAGCAACTCAGTGAGACCCTGTCTCTAAATAAAATGCAAAATAGGGCTGGGGATGGGGCTCCGTGGTGGAGTGCCCCTGAGTTCAATCCTTGGCACCCCAAACAAACAAACAAAAAGAGGGGTACAATAGCACCCATCTCTCTGGGTGTCTCCAAGATTGCACAGGGAGGGCCTGGCTCAAGGGAGCCTTAATGGGCACGAGAGACATCTGTGGCAGAGGCTACAAGCCCAGGACACACCTGGCACGTCAGTGTCACCATGAATCCCAGAAAGAGAGGACACCTCAGCACAGGGAGATTTTGAAATGGGAAAGGTAATAATCTTTCCCCAGACTGGGACCCCAGACTGGCTATGTGGGGCAAAGGCAGTCACCGTCACTTGGGAAGCGCCTGTGGGTGCAACAGTTCCCTCTTGTGCCTTTGTTTTCTTTCTGGGTGCCCCAAAGTGATTGGGTCACGGGGACGAGGAAGCTACCTAGAACAGGCTGTGCTTTATTTGATGAGGGGCTAGCTAGCTCCCCTTCACCTGCCTGTGGCTGCCTGCCCTGACCAGCAGCAAGCTCACCGGGAGGAAGAATGAGGACTTCTAAACACACACCTCTTTTTTTTTTTTTTGGTACCTGGGATTGAACTCAGGGGCACTCCGCCCCTGAGCCCCATCCCCAGCCCTATTTTGTATTTTATTTAGAGACAGGGTCTCACCGAGTGGCTTAGAGCCTCCGTAAGTTGCTGAGGCTGGCTTTGAACTCACGATCCTCCTGCCTCAGCCTCCCGAGCTGCTGGGATGACAGGTGTGCACCTGGCTAAACCCACCGTCTTAAGCTGCTATCGCCCACCCTCCGCAGTTTCCCATGATAATTAAAAAGATAGGGCCACTTCAGATGGGTGGTGCTCGTAGAGTGGCATGTTGGAGCCACTGTGGCCACAGACCTGATGCTCCAGACGTGTGTGTGTGGAGGTGGGGGGACGGATCACCTGACAGGAGGCATTGGGCACTGCCTGAAGACAATGTCTGGTGGTCACAACAGGTGCTCCGGGTGCAGTGGGTAGGGACCAGGGGTGCAGCAGAGAGCCCCACAACAGAGAATGAGCCAGGTCAAAATTTGAATAGGAAAAAGGTGAGAAACCCTGCTCCAGGTCTATGCCAGGCTGCCTGAGTGAGACCCCACAGAAGTTAAAAA